ATAATTGGGATGCGGTATGCGAAGCACTTGGCGCGGAAATACTCCAAACCAATAATACCAATTCATCACATGGAGGCCCATGCATTGACTGCTCGTATGGAGAATTCCGATTTAAATTTTCCATTTCTATGCTTGCTGGCTAGTGGTGGTCATTGTCAGTTGGCATTAGTCAAAAGTGTATCTGAATTCATTTTGCTGGGTGAATCGCTAGATTCATCGCCTGGTTCATGTTTTGATCGTGTTGCACGTGCTTTAAATCTCCATGCTCTGCCTGAATACCAAAATATAAATGGTGGAAAAGCCATCGAACTGGCTGCCTACAAATCGACAAACTCCAATCGTTTTGTATTTGGTCTCCCGTTGCTGGAACAACGCAATTGCCAATTCAGTTTCGATGGTCTTCGCGGTGTATGTATTCAAAGAATTGATGAGATGAGAAAACGGCTAAAAATGGCTCCCAATGAAACGATTCCGTATTATGAGGATTTTTGTGCTTCACTTCTTAAAATTATGACCAAACACTTGCTTCAACGCACACAACGGGCGATCCACTATTGTGATCGTTTCGGAGCATTCGGACATGGGAACAACAAACTGCCTAAAGCTTTTGTTTTCTCAGGAGGTGTTGCATGCAATGATTTTATCTATAAGGCAATGGACCAAATGGTATCACAATTCGATTTTAAGTCATATCGTTGTTCGAAACGATTGTGTTCGGATAATGGTGTCATGATAGCCTGGAATGGCATTGAACGATGGCGAGAAAATGAAAATTTCTATAGAAATTTAGATATAGATAGCGTTTTACCAGACTGTTTTGCTAAGCTAGGTACGAATCAAACCGAACAAGTTTCCAAAAAACATATGAAATGCGATTGGGTTAAAGTCCCGTGCATGGAAACAGAGACTTTGACCTTGGACTGAATTTTTGTTTATTAGTTTTATGGTAATAAATTGAACAAATCTGGAGAAAAAACAATGTTTTTTACTTGAATGAAACATTAGAAGAGAAATTTGTTTGGACAATTTTTGGTTCTTCGTATTTAGGTAGATTCGGCGGTGACTAAAGTTGAAGTGTGTTGAAGCTAAAATAAAATCAAAACATCTTCTGCTTAACATCTTCCATTGTGAAATTTATTCGATTCAAAGAAATGTGTCGCCAATATTGTTATCAACGCATCGAATCACCAGCGGTTTTGCATCCATCATATTCTGTGCCTTCGCTTCATCTGCTTGGAATAACTATTGATTTTCGTTGTTCTAACAATTCATCCCTTTATTGCTTGATGTGTTAATATCACATTGTGGTAATAAATTTCTACGCGGCTGATCAAATGTGTGGTAATACAAGCAATATATTTCTTTAATCGATTTCTCACTCTATTTTTTCAACCATTCAAAATAAAAAAAATTCAATTCTACCGACAATAATGAATTGGTTTTATTTTCAGACTAAAATTTGTAGTAGCTTTATTCTTCTAGAAGTCTACAGCTACCGATTATTTCGTGAACATTCATATTTATAAAATATATATACACGTATAGACTTGGACATTTGGAATTATCCGTAAACGATTAAAAATTGCATCTAGTAGTTGATATATTTGCGGAAAATTTTCCAAAATAGACACATAACTACATGACACTAATTGAGATAAATCATTTTTGGTAGTTGCTGGATCGCAAAAATTACGTTAAATAGTATACCGTATTCTCTAAACTCTAAAGACTCCCAACGGCATTGAACCGTTTCAATTTCTCTGGGAAAATATCTTTGTATAGCACGGGATCGGCTCTAAATTCAACTGTCCGTAGTGTCATAGTGCCGTAGACCTTGGCGAAGCGATCGATGCACGCTGATCGCTCCATCATGTGATTGATGTCAGCCGAGAGCATTTCAGTGTTTGTACATTCTGGACATTTGAATTTTTTGCGTGGTGCCACTTTGATTGGCGGTTTCTTGGTGAAGTTTGCTACCAAAAAGTTCATTGCGATATCTTCACAGTTCATGTGATCATCGACCCATTCCTTTATCTCAGCTGGCATTTGATTTGTGTACGCATAACTCCAGTACTTATGATGGAACGCCGCTCCAGTTAATACCATTGAGATCTGATTTGTCCATTCCGACTCGTATCGCCATCGCAACGTATGGTTGTCCCAGATGTGAGTTCGACTTGGGAAACCTGCAATGGTATATGAAGGGGATTATTTTGTGTTTAGTGTAATTTTCAATTAGTGGAGGTTATGAGTAGGGTCTTCTTAAATAGTTTCATATTGATAGGCTTGGATGGAATGAATGAAAATCTATCAACTATAGTCAGTCAGTATTAGGGTGGATCGATTTTTAAAATCGTACAAAATCATAAACGGCGGGTGTGCGATCGATTTACCACCTCAAAAGAAGAAACTTTTGTTCTGGGACATATCTGACACAGTATGAAAATTGCTTTGGGTTAACCAAATTGGTCATGAAAATACGAAAATGATTTTTTCATATCATAGAGTACCGACAATACTCATATTAGAAATTTTCGACGTCTAAAAAGAGAGATGGCAAATACAAACTGTATACATCCATCTCTCTTAGTGGAAGTCGAGCGTCCTCATTAAGGACTCCTCATTGGTTTAATCCAAAATTCGAGAAACCATTGTGAAAAACTCGAAGAATCAATTCCAACTCACCAACAATTCGATCGGGAAATTCACGCCACACTTCATATCCAAAGTCCAATTCATCTGCTGTTAGCATAATGATATCATCGTCAATCGTGAGTATGGCTTCAGTTTCGATTTCCTCATACGGATAAAATCGATTAGATAATTTGTTTGCTTTAGTTCGAATAACTTTCAATGGTTTGCTTATCTTCGGAAAAATGGATACTGAAACAGAAAAGATTTTCATTACAAAAATTATTTTTAGGTAAAATCGATTTTCCTAAAGAAATATAAACTAAAGACGACATTAAAAACGACATTAAAGACGATTTAAATCTAATTTTCATTTTCTAAATGAAATTTCAACTCAAGGACATATCAAACAGAATTTTTTTTAGATGAACAAAAATTTCCATTCAAACCCGATCCATTTTGTTTTTTTTTTGAATAAAAATAAATTTTCTATTCAAACTTACTGTGTGGTGGTGCTTCCTTTTCGTTATTCCAAACGACCAAAATCTTCTGCAATGACATAACGACCGATAGCTTCTGAATGAGTTTAAAAAGGCTTTCAATGCGATCGTAGGTGAGAATAACGGCAGTGAATCCTTGTGATTTGTGTGCAACTCGTGACAAAAACAATGGATTTTGTACGACACGCTGAGCTGGCATATTCCAGTCGAAGTACGATTTGGCTCGATATGCAAAGATACGGTCATTCAACTCGGCCAACATTGTTTTGACGATTTTTTCATTCGATGCCAAGTATTGTTCGTAGAACCATCCACCTTGTCGTTGTAACTCGTCGATTTTGTCCAAGGAAATCGATCGCAGCTTTAGATTAATTGACTGTAAATCGGCCTCACGCAACGTAACTACGGCTAGTTGCCAATCGATGATCTGAAATTATTAAAATTCATTGAAAAACTCATTTTAAAAAATTGGTCTTCAAAAAATTACCTCACTGAAGGGTAAAATGACATTATCAGCGAATATGACTGGGATACAATTAGCAGCTAGTGCTTCGATGAAATTCAATTCGAACAAACGTTCCGTTTTTGCAATCAGGCAGAATTGACTTTGTGCATAAACCGATTTGATATCATATGTGGTGCTTGTGCCATATGCACATCGAACCCCAATCGATCCACGGTTTGGCACATTTTTCGGACACTTATCCAGCAGTAGGATTTTTCGATCACTTTTCGTGACAACGTCAGTCATTGTGCTTAATTGAACTTCATTGAGATTCAATGTTGAAACCGTCAACCAGAATGAACTGAAATAAATGAAGGTTTTCAAAGTTGGAAATTAATTAAATAACCTAACTTTCACACTGAAGAGTGGAAAAATTTATAAAATATTCCGAAAATGTGCAGAAAATAGAATGAATTTACTTTCTTGCTTTGCTCAATGACACCATCTTTTCATCTCTAACATAGCCCAGGAAGGGAAAGGCAACATCAAATCCAGTTCGATATGTCCAGCTGTCAAAATTGGCGCCCGCAACGATGGCTCGGTCGGTGTTGAACGATTCAATTCCACTCTCTGGCGAAACGATGTTGAACAATAGATGATTTTCACCATTTTCCCAGCTAAAAATGAATGCAACGGTTTAGTTTTTGTCAATTGTGGCTACTGACAATTTTTATTACACTTTTTTAAATCGCATTTTTTATTTTTTTTTCTCAATGAGTTCATTTCCATTCAGTAAATTCATTCAATAGGACCAAATTTGTCATTGAATCAAAAATTTTACGTTGAATTTGTCAGTTCCAAATTGAGAATATTTTTTCTCGGTCAAACAAAACAAAAAAATACTCACTAAGGTAAAGTGGCTAGTGCTTTGGAAACAGTCGATGGATCGATATGTTTTAGATTGAGTGTGTCAATGGAGGGTACTAAGATGCATGCCTCTTTTGGATCTGATGTATAATACGGACTTTCAATGATAATTTTCAAAATTTCGAAAAATTCTTTGCTTAAAACCGCCAACGACGACTTTGCTTCTGATTTTTCAGCATCATAATAATCCACCAATGGGTAAATATAGATCGAGAGTCTCTCTCCACATCGATAAATATTGAAACAATCCCAATACGAGCAGTTCTCATTTCTCCGTCGTGTTAACTCCGCATCTGTTTCCAATCGAAACTTTTCCACATTACTCAAATCCAATGAAATCCGTTCATTGCGTTCGTTGGCATGGGTAATCGGTGATGAGATTATTATCACATAAATGATTGCAATCCAAATTGCAATGCACACCGCAACACAGTAAATTTTTTGCTCACGTTCATACTTGTTATTCAATATTTGACGAATTATATTTTTTACCAACATTTTTGCACGCAATGGCACACCGCCCAATTTCTTCGACACCAAATCAATTAGTTTAAGGGAAATTCCAAAATCCTTACATTATTTAAATAAAATAAAATTGTTTTTTCAGTGAAAAAGGAGGAATAACTCTGTAATTGATTTATTTTTCAGCTGTCAACTACAAATGTTTACAGTTTCTGCACTGAATTCGGCATGAAGTTGGCCATTTGACACTTCTAGCGGATGAATCATGTATGTGGAGACGACTGATTTATTTTTTAATCCGAGTTCATTCCGGATGTATTTTCGATGGAACAGCCTAAGTGAATTTGAGCAAAATGAATTCAGTTGAAGAATCATATGCACACTTCAAACAATATCAAAGTCAACTAATGAAAAATATATTAGAGTTTTAACTTCATATTTCATACATGAATAAAAATATTTCAACTCAAAACAAAGCGCAAACGACAATGGGAATTGTCAAAACACTCGAGAATAGACACTCTCTCTTATGTCAAATATCAAACGGCTCATTTTCTACCCCTCCCTCAGTTGTCAATGTGCTATTGACAGTTCCACTAGCAAACATGTGTATAGTGCACAATCAAAACAATGACCATGTTGCGAAAATTACTGAAGAATTTCGATAAGAAATTGTATTTCAATCAATTGAGCCTTTCGACGCGACTTTTCTGTAATCAATCTAATGTTCCATTGACTGAATCAAAGTTTGTATCATTTCCAATTTATTCATCAATTTTTTATAATAAGTTTTCACAAGTAAACAGTGGTTTCAATTGTAGGCGACCGGCAATTGTACTAGGAATTGAGACATCATGTGATGATACGGGCTGTGCAATAGTGAATTCAACTGGAACAATTCTGGGCGAGAGTTTACATTCTCAGCTTCAATTTCATAACAAGTAAGTTTTTTGAAAAAATCCATAGATATTTAGAAGTATACCAAATCCAAATAGATCAAATTGATCAAAATCTATTAAATTGATCGTGGGTGAACTTGGAAAGTCCATTTTTTTGGTTCTGATGGAAAATGGGAACTTTTCATAGAGTTTTGAATTGATGCTAGTAACCAATTACAAAGAACATTTAAACTGGCTCTGGTCTGCTGTCAAACTTTGTCTCTCTCACACTTACCTTCGCGCTGACTCGCTCGTGTGCAAATCGCTGCTAGAGTGAAAGAGATATTGTTTGCAGTGGGCTCAGTTTACATGTTCCCTGAACAAATTTTGATTCATTTTCGATTCAATTCGACAATTTTTTCTATCACAAAAATGTATTCTCCTTGTCCTCTCCTCTTCAGATGTGGTGGTATAAATCCTCCGATTGCTCAAGAGTTCCATCGTAAACATATTGAGCCCGTGGTAACTGAATCTTTATCCAGAGCAAATTTAAGTGTGAATGATGTTGATGCGATCGCCGTAGCATCTCGACCGGGTCTCACAATGAGTTTGGTAGTAGGAGTACGATATGCCAAACACTTGGCCCGAAAGTATAGAAAGCCGTTAATTCCAATCCATCATATGGAGGCTCACGCACTAATGGCGCGCTTAGAAAACCAGTCGAAGTTAAACTTTCCATTTCTGTGTTTATTAGCGAGTGGCGGTCACTGTCTTTTGGCAATGGTAAAGAGTGTGAACGATTTTAGTTTATTAGGTGAGGCAACAGATGGGTCGCCGGGTGAATGTTTTGATAAAGCGGCACGTGTGATTGGGCTAACAAATCTACCTGAATACAGTGAGAGTAGTGGCGGTCGAGCTATTGAGCTGGAGGCATACAAAGCGACAAATGCCGACCGATTTGTATTTCCATCACCACTGAACGACGGTCGAAACTGTCAATTTAGTTTCTCAGGTCTAAAATCGGCGGCAATAACAACCGTTCAAGATTTGCAAAAAAGTGCCCAAATCGAGCCCGACCAACTAATTCCACACCATGAAGATTTCTGTGCCGGTTTCTTAAAAGCGACCACAAAGCACATAATGCGAAAAACTCAACGCGCGATCCAGTATTGCGAACGGAAAGGTTTCTTCGGATTCGGTGCAAATACAAAGCCACGGTCATTGGTCTTTTCGGGTGGAGTAGGATGCAATGATTTCATCTTTCGAGCATTAAGTGAAATGGCATCGGAGTTTGGATATAAAACCTTTCGACCGCCAAAGCGACTGTGCACCGATAATGGCGTGATGATTGCATGGAACGGCATCGAACGATGGATCGACAATGATCAAGTGTACCGAGAATTAGATATTGATAGTGTTACACCATTGGATCGTCAACCATTCCGAACCAATCTAGTCGAAGATGTTGAACGGAAAAATATACAATGTACCTGGATCAAAGTACCATCAATGCAATCAAATAGGCTAGTAATGACATAAAATAAGCAGGTAAATAAGTTTTAATTTCGTTTCGCGACCGTTTCTTTTTTTTCCATTACTCCAATGCAAGGAATGCAATAAAAGAGATACGCTGATGATGGAATCTGATGGGTTATTATTTATTTATCCATATTTCAGCTTATCAGCGGTGTGAGATCTCTACCTGTTCAGGTAAATCGGTGCATTTGTTTCTATTTTTTTTCGCTTGCTCTTGCTCTCTCTCTCTCTCACTCTCTCTAGTGATATGGTTGCGTCGTGTTGTATGTAATTGACTTATCCACCAACACATTGGCACATGAATGTAACGATGCATACAACAGGTATCGTAAAGCACCTCAACATTAAGTCTGTTGTTCTCTCGAGCGCATGCGCACGCGGCGTCTCATGCGTCGTTACCTGTACCGCAACGATGTGCGAGAGAAAAAAATCACATACTCCGCACCGCGTTATGTTTAGTTGGCTGAAAATAGTGAATGATTGAAGACGTACTGATCTTCAAAGAGCGTTTTTTTTAGTTCGTGGGTCGCCATCGAAGGCAAATAACTTTAACATAATTCGTTTTTTTTAAATCAGATTCTAAACACACTGTGTTGTTGTTCATTTACTAGGTAAATTTGCATTTTGTTTTTGATAAAACTGGTTGAAATTCCATCAAGAGGTGGAACCAAATTTTGTTTTTTTTTCTGGACTTTTTTTTTACAAAACGACGTGAGAGAAAAATGTTATATGCTCAATCTGTGTGTACTAGTGATGTTCGATTGATTTGTTTCTTTCGGTGCTTTTTTATGTTTTGGTGTACGCTCAACACAAGTGCCTTTCTAACTCTCAAATGTGTTTATGACACAAAATAGTTTTTATTATATGAAAAAAGAAAAAAAAAATGAATTGTTATTGATTTGCTAAGAATTCGTGAGCTCATTCGATTTGTTTATCCAACAATTTTCAGTGTCTTATTATAAAGTGAAGCAGCAGAAGATTGATTTTTGCACGGATTTGATTGTGTCAACATTTTGGTTTTTACTTTGGATTAATACAAACACATCGATTGATGAGAAAAAGGTAAGTTTTTTTTTCTCGCAAGAATACGCAATTACTAGATAGTATATTGAGTCGATGTGAGAATAATAATGTTTCGTGGAAATATTGAATGCTTAACATTCAATGTCTAGTTTCTGCGGAAAAATGATTACTTGTCGGGAAGCGACAAAATATAAAGAAAAGAAATGAAAAAAAAACATTCTCTCAAAAGAACATTAAATAAGGAAAAAACAATTTTTCGTGGATGAAAATAAGAAGCATGTCATTTTTTTCAATTTTTCTTCGATGCTCAATTTTGTTTAGTGTTTTTGAACTGTTTTCGTTGAACACTTCCATACACTGTTCTGTTTTGAAAGGTTGAATGAGTTATTAATTTCTAAAATGCAATGATCAAATATTGGAGTGGCCGTCATAACACCCCAAACGGACAGCATTCTCTAATGTAATAGAAACTCAAAAGCATGATGTCCGTCCGGAGCATTATGACCGCCACTCAAATATTGGTTTCATTGCAAGAAAGAGAAAACGATTATTCTCAGTCGTTCGACTGAACCAAAATACCTTTTCAATTTGATCAAAATTCATATCGACAGTGTTTGATATGTACATGATCAAGTTTTCTGAAGGTAAAACTCCACTCTGATCTCTGTTATTAAAATTTTCTGATATACAATTTCATTTTGATGATCCCAGAATCTACAAATTCAGAAGATTTTATATAAAATATGTGGCAAAATTGATGGATCCTTATGCAGGCTATAGAATAGCTATAGCCGTTATACTAAAAAAAATACATTTTTATACTTAAAAAAAAGAACTGAATTGCGATTTTGTCTAACTTTACCTGAATTAAATGAAAATTGTTCTCCCTATCTTCAATTAAATTCATGTTAGTTCGAATTTTTCTATTTAAAAAACAGCACTTCCGCAATTCTCTACGGCCAAATAAAGAAATTATACAATGCCAACATAGAATAATTCAAAAACAATTCCAAATCTTCCAAAAAAGACTCTATTCCTCCATGGAAAAGCCACCAAAATGGCTTGAGAAAGAGAAAAAAAAAATGATTTCATGCTAAAGACCGGGTTCATGTAGTCCATTGGACGGCAGCACCGCAGACGAAAATTAAAGACAATTAAAATTCCATTGAGACCATCGTCGTAGTCGTCGTCGTCGTCGTCATCAAGTGTGGACGTTGATGGTGTCTGTGTGCGTGTTTATGTAGATCAGAATGTAATTTGTACCAACACGAACAAAAGCACATACATGCACACCACCAAGAAGAAGAAGACGACCGTAACATCTCTGGTTTCAATAGAAAAAGAACACGGCAGCAGCAAAATGATCACCGCCGCACTTGCACCGTACAAACACAAAGGCACGATGGCGAGAGCAGAGAGTCTGAGATTCTTATGCGGTGGCGGTAGTGCGGTCGGTCGGGCCGCAACGTTAGTCGGCAGCCATTTTGGTTGTTTTCTCTTGTGTTTCGTCTTCTTGGCTGTGTAATCATTCAATATATGTATGGCTGTATGACAATCATATGAAGAGCGAAAGAGAGAATAATTCATGCAATTGAAATTGTTGTTTCCCAGCTCCAGTTTCTTGTTGTTTTTGTGTTGGCATTTTTTTTTCTGTTCGTGTCGTTGTTGTTTTTGTTTTTTTTTTGCGAAAGAGGGTTATCGAATGTGTAACAAAATCCATTGTTTATCGACGCTTATAGCGGGATCATGTGAACTTTTTCTTCACGAAAAAAAAACCTCGTCATGAACAAAAACAATTTAGTTCTAGATTTCAATGTGGAATGAGGTCTACGGCGAATGCAGCCATCGTAAATATTCGAAAAATGGCAAACAAATTGTGTGCAAAATGGCGAATTGGCATCAGTTTCACCTTCGACATATCAAATCCAACAAGACCAATTGCACTCCGGCTACAAAATCACAAAATTAAATGCGATGACGACGTCAGCCTGACGTTTTTTTTGTCAGCGATAGATGGAAACTCTTTTTTTTTAAATCGTACACAAGAATGTCATTGTGTTCGGAGCCGCTCATCAGAATGGAATGTAAAAAGAAAACGAGCGATCGGAAAAGAGGTCATTCAAATCGGTATGCATACACAAAAACGAAAACGACGACGATGACAACGACAACGTTGACAACACATAGTCAAGCTATATCAGCCTAATTGGCCACTATAATCATTCATAAGTCGACACATTTCTTTGATACGTGGCCCATACAGGTGTATCGACTCTCTAGCTAACCATAAACGAGAGAAACGAAATAAACTGACATAATTTCATATGGAAATGTTCGATTGGGTTCGTGTTTTTGTCTTCTCTTCTTTCATATGGCAACCGTGTTATTTTTGGATAAGGTGCATTTGAAGAAGCGTTTATCAAGGCTTAAAATGGTTTAATGTCGTCACCGAGTCACACGCATACAATTCAAATGTTTGAATGCATGGCACTCCTTAAGAATTCCGCTTCAAGATGCGCGACACAATCCGAAAAAAGACAACAACTAATTGAATACACGTACGAATATGCGCACGATGGCTCTCTCTCTCTCTCTCTCTCTCTCTTCTTCTTGCTCATTCACTGGCTTACGTGCTACTTGTTCACATCGAATATGTAGACGTGGCTGATTTGTATATGCAAGAACCAAGATCGCGCGCACGCACATTTTGAGAACCAAGACTGATTCTTGTTTGGCAATTTTTGTCGAAGGGCCGGTGTGCGCACGATATGTTTCTATTGCAATGACAGTGTTTGTTGAGCCAAACCAAATGGAATAACAACCGTTTGACGTACGGTGTCTGATCTAATCACGTTATTTATGCACCCGATCTCTCTCTCTCTCTCTCTCTCTCTCTCTCTCTCTCACTGTATCTCTCCGTCGAACCAAACTCGATTATTACACCCGTTCAATTGCTGTTTTTGTTGTTGTTGCTGCTTTTTTTTCTTCTTTGTCGCATTTTGCAATCGCACTGCATCAACCGGTCTTTAAATACACATTCATTACGGTTTTCAAATCGCTACAAATAAAAACAACGAATACCAACAAATTTAATGGGAATTTTTCCAATTGAAAATTCCCAATTTGCACGGATTATGCAATTTGAATTCGAACTGTTGTGCCGACTGACGAGCAAACTCTGAGGCCAAACGAAATAGAAAAAGAGAGTGCGAGAGGGAGAGGGAGAGAGAAAAGTATACGCGATTCTAGGCGAGCGCTCATTTTTCAGCCAAAGTTGACAGTTTTATTACATTTCAGCCGTCAAATTGCTGTTATGGCTTTTTAATTAATGGATTTTTGGAATTAGCAAGTGTTTGCCACCGATTCGCTTTCATGGCGTAAGTTGCAATATAATCAACTGCATTCTTTAAACACAAACACGATCCAAAAACAAAAACAACTCGCTTCAACTCATGCTGATTCGAAGAGATTTCCATCGTCTGAATGGATTTCGTTCAGACACATTTTACTTTTCAAGTGAAACTGAAAAATCATATTTAGTTATGAAATTCGTTTCGAAAATTAAAATTGCATCGGAATTCCTGAAAATTGAATTTGTTTCATCTGCGATTTCAGTTTTGCTACAGGCTTTCTACCGCAGAAAATCGCATAAAACAAAAAAGAAGACGTTGAATCCTCAGTTTTTGTTGGCTGCAGGTGAAAAGTTATGAATTTTATTCGTGGTAAAAGAAAAAAATTGAACATTAAAATTATATAAAATAATTTGTAATTGATTTTTTTTGCTTGTGGCAAAAATATGTGGTTGAAAGTTCGTTTTCTCTCTCTCTCTCTCTGGCAGCAAAAAGCAGACAAAAATCTAAAAAAAAAGTCGAATGATCAGACAAAAGGTGAATAAGATCAGGTGTCGATGATTGAATCTTCCGATTTTGCAGCTTAAAAGTTTGAATATTCAATTTAAATTTCTTAATCCAAAAATCGATTTGCATTTGTCTTCGAACGTTACTCAAGTTGAGTGACTCAACATTTTGCACGGTTTTTTTTTTGAACGTGTGCATATTTAAAAGCGAAATGAGTGAAAATTTGCACATTTTTGTCATCTATTTTATTCGAACAAATGTTATCGGTGGATTTAAGACTAATCTGCGAAATTGAGACAAAAAAGCTAACAACGTTGCATCATGGGTCGTCAACTGCTTGCTTCTGCGAATTTTAAAGTACGAATATTCAAAACCCAATCGTCTTTTAATAGGAAACTTGTTAGACTCATTGAATTTGGCTCATCGAAAAAAAGTTCCGAATCCCCACTACCGAAAAGTAGCACAAGACATTTTGGCTCGAGAATCGAAAATGAATAATTACGAAATAGAAGATTGGACTGGTAGCCCGTTGCTGAATAAATCGGCAGATCAAAAGTCGCTGCGCAAAAAGTTGTTATTTGGAAAAAAACAACAAAGTTCTTCCGTAGTATCGTCATGAGCGCGATTTTTAATGGCAACCACCCAAAATGCGTCTTATTCAATATCGAACATTACCAATTATTCCGTGAAGAATATTCACACGAAGAGTCTAAATGCACCAATCGATCGATTCATTACCCCGATGAATATATCGACGCATTAAAAAATGCTATCGGCAATGCTAATCATGGAATTTGTATTCGGATTCTCGGGTTCGGTATCAGTCATTTGAATCATGATCACGTTTGAGCTAAACTCGACACAGAATCGCCCGGCTTTTAGTTGTTTTTCACTTCTGATGAGCGCTTTTACCTCCGAAAATTAGACTTCAAATTTCGTACATTTTTTAGCTCTAAAAAACAAAAAGTCAGCACACAGTCAAGTCAATACGAACGGGCCTGGGGCTTCAGTCCACTGTTGAGTGGTTTCACTGTGAATTTTCTGCGACGCGAATACAATTTTAAATAGAAAAAGAAGAAACACTGAAAGCGATCGACGTCGAATGAATGTTCAAATGTATATGGCAATGGCTCTCTCACTGGCTTGCGGATGGCATGAAGTAAACCTAACGGTACGGCAGTC